TTTTTATTTTAGAAACGTAATTTCTGGGGATTCGTGCTGTTCCGGAGCCCCATTGGAACCTCAGTGTGAACATATAAAGAAGCTGAATAGCGTATATGGTCCTTACCACATCTATTCATCCACTTCTGTTCCTTTTTCTGGGAATTTCTCTTTTTTCGAATTTACAAGTTTCCTGACTTCAAATTCTCTCCAGATCTGTCGTTTTGTTACACAATGCGGCAATTGCAAAAGTTTGATCTCGGGCGGGCTCGAACCGCCGGCCTTCTGTGTGTTAGACAGATGTGATAACCACTACACCACGAGATCGCCGAGTGAGTGGCACGTCAAGGTTGAACGCTTGCGTCTTCGGTCGACGGGTTATTCGCGTGTATGCGTTACCTGCCGCAGTAGGAGGCTGTCGAACATATTTGTACTCTGGACCTTGCTAGGCTTTGCTATCATCTGGGCCTTTCTGGGCCCTGTTTGTCCTATGGTTTCTTCAAAACACCGCTGATAATTGCCATGTGTTTCCCAGCCTCTAAACAGGGCACGTTTTGCCGCTGGGGAACAATTTTGCAAAATACGACCCCTTCCCAAAACTCTCTTGTATGGTAGAACCCTTTTCCCCTTCCCCACTCCACCTATCCTATCTATCTGTCTTTCCGAATTCTCATAAATTTCCACCGTTTTTTTCCAAAAATTTCTTCACCGCAACGCCTTTTTTCCCGCCATCCGAAAATAAACTGTCTGTGAAGCGGAGAAGGAGGGGGGGAAGGGGGACAGGGAAAAAACCGAGAGAGCTTAGCGGTCAAAAAAAGTTTTCTCTCAAAGGGAAATACGATTCTTCTGTCTAGCGATTAAATAAGAACACCATGGCTCAGCTATACCTTTCTTCGCAGAGATGAATCCTTAACATAACCCCCACACTTACCTCTCTAATGAATGACAAATTTCCATCGAATAGCCCAGGAATAGAGAAACAGTAGTCATGCCGCAATTAATGGAGTATGCGTCTTACCAAATGGCAGCCTCGCTTATTCCACGTTCCATTAGCAGTTTGATCTCCGCTTTTTTCTTATTCTGTGTTATCCTGCCTTGACTTAATATCCTCCTATATATAGTCCGCTATGTCCGTACGCGTGTGTCTGTGTGTGCGCCTGTCTGTTTGTCACAAATTCATAGCGCGGTATGG